ACCGTCCCCGCGATAAGGATGCGTTCATACTTTGAGGCAGAGCTCAATCCACTACTAACGTTTCGAGCGTCTGTTAGCGTCTGCTACTAAGTATAGACATCGATCTAGTAAACGGCAGCGTCTACCAGCGTCCAGCAGCGACCAGGAGCACGAAATTGTGTAGAAGTGCGGTTGCACATGCCACCATTTCACGACGCCCAAGTCCAACTGTCTCCTCTATCCTGCTTCCATGTGCTCTACCGAGCAGTCTGCTACCCTCCTACTTCCCCATACTCTCTGCTCCTGGACGTGTTGGTCGTTAGTGGACGCTGGTAGACGCCGGTAGACACTGTCGTTCGCTGGGTCGATATTTGTTTATTTATATATTTACATCGCTGGCACTGGCGAACGCTCGAAACGCTCTTGGTCGCTGATGGACGCTGTCGCAAAGTATGAATGCAGCCTAACAATTAATAGTCACCACGCTGCTGCGCTATGCAGCTCACAAAATGAGGGTCAGCTCCCACCGCGATTGTTATTTGTTTGATTTTTGTACTTTTTCACAGATATCCGGACACGCCGACAGACCTAGTGGAACAATGGAAAGAGTTACGCACCAACTAATTTGAACTTTCAACAATGACGACGTCGAGCGTGTTCGATTTTCAACTAACCACGAAATTCAAGCGTTTTATTCACTACTCGCTAGCCAGTACATCATAAGTTGAAGTACTCGAATTATCCAGCTCGGTTTGACTTTGTAGCTGCCCACATTATCATTGTTTGCATTCGTATTTCTTTCAGTATTTGTTAGACACCGGTTTTATTTTGTCACACGTCACAACAAATAGATATAGATTCACTATATTTGCTCATTACATAATTGCCATAAATATGAATCGTGCCACTTCCAGAACTGCTTTTTTCTGGAGTGTCAATGATTCATTTATTTGCTTAGCGTGCAAGTTTTAGTAATGCATGTGCGTTTTAGTCATATGGGTTGTGTCGACCACCCTGTATGATTGATTTATTGACCACCTGTGAAATAATCAGAAAGTAAAGATGGTTGTTTGTAATGTTTTACATGGATTAATTTTTGGATGCAGATGATTTCCCAGAGAATGACTTATCTTGAAGGCAGTTGGCACGATAAGTCCCTAAGACGAGTAGGTACGCCTAGTAGGGCGGAATTCCGCGCCCCTGATAAGGCGCTGCGCAGCGCCGTTTCCAAGCAAGGTACCCTTATGAGGGCTACAACATACCGACCCGAACGCCCACCACGCCCGCCCGCCCACAAATGGACGACCGTTCCTGACGCTCGTATTGATTCATTTGCTAAGCAAATTATGAAGCGAAGGGATTGGTATGAAGCGGCCGCGGTGCTGCATGGATATATGAGTACACACATGCAGCCGTATCTTCGGTAGCGGTGATTGGCAAGATGCCTACGGGAAACTCGTCCGAAATTGATTTTCAAGTCACTGAGAACGGAGGCTTTTTCTTCGCAGGATTTTGACCGTTTCA